CATGCAAGGTTCGTCAGTAGATGTCCTTGTTCCTTGTCTGCTGGCTTGAACGAGCTGGACTGATTAGCTTCACGTGGCAGCAGCTACGATGCTTCTGCTACGGCAACATTGGAGGAAAGTGCAGAAATGCAGCATCATCTCCGTAAAAGTGGAAGGACAGGAATTGCAGCGTTGTCACTGCTCTGGCCTGCTGAAGTTTTGGAGGTCTGGAGCTAGCAAGCTGCGAACATTTGAGTTTGTTGTTGCCTCTGAAGCAGCTGGTGCAGCGCTTTATACCTTGCAGTGGTAGATAGGCCACAACATAAAGAAGCCGCGCGACCTGCTTGAATCATGGATGCCTGAACCGTCTTATGCTTCAGCTCTTACCAGGACAGGTTACAGAGTTCATGTGTGCCACATAAAATCCCCCAAGAACTCTTCAGGGCTCTTGGACAGAACGTTTCGTCAGCAACAGCCAGAAAACCTTTACCCCCGCTCAGATCTGTTTTTCAAAGGCAATTGATCCTGAAAGCCCAGCAAGACCCATACTGAAGAGTAAATGCTAGCTTTTTCCCAGCCCTCAAAGTTGTTGTTTCTGGGTCTTTCCAGAGCTCCTTTCAAGCCACCAAATTGGGTGTTTTTGCATCACAGGCCCCCTTCCAAGCCACCAAATTAAGGTTTTTGGTTTCCAGACCGCTTTCTAGGCCACCAAATTGATAATTTGTAGCCTCTCCCAAACCTCTAGCCAAACTCCCAAATTTGGTTTCTGTGCCGTTTCCAGTCCCCCTTCCAAACACCAAAATTGGGGCAGTTTGGCTTGTTCGAAGCCTTTTCCAGGCCCACAAATTTGTTTTTATCAACCTTTTCTAGACCACCTTCCAAGCCTCCAAATTGGGTTTTATTTGCCTTTTCCAGACCTCCTTCCAGGCCGCCAAATTGGCATGTCTGTTTTTTCCAGGCCCCCTTCCAGGCCCCCATATTGGGCTTCTTGGCCTTTTCCAAATTTTTCCAGGCACCAAATTGGGCTTTGTAAGCTTTTTCCAGACCAAATTCAAGATTTTGGCAGGCGCCACCAAATTAAACACGTTGGCTTTTCCAAGCCGCCGCTCTGGACCCGAAGTCCTCGGAAAAACAAACTCACACTGTTGATGGTGCCCTAAGAGGCCCCTAAACTGTGGGAATTATGGTATATTCCTTATTAAGGGGCCCCTAAGCTGTGGGCATCATGGTACATTCCCTATGATGGGTATGCAGGATTTATATCAGCAACCGTAAGTACGAAAGCCGGGCTTAGGGTTTAGGGTTTAGGGTTTCGGGTTTAGGGTTTAGGGTTCTACCCTACACCTTATTCCCTTCCAAACCTCCAAATGGTTTTCTTGCCTTTTCTGTATACTTCTTTCCAAGCCCCCCCCCCCCAATTAGTGATTTTTTTGCATGTTCCAGGCCCTTTTCCGGACCACCAATTTCCAGACCCCTTTCCAAGCCTCCAAATGTGTTTTAGCTTTTCCCAAACCCTCGACCAAATTCACAAATTTGGTTTCTCTGCCTTTTCCAAACCTGGCATTTTGGCCTTTTCCAGGTCCCCTTCCAGGCGCGCAAATTGGGATTGTTTGCCCTGTCCAAACCCCCTCCCAAGCTTTTTTTCCAGACCACCTTCCAGACCCCCGGGCCCTAAAACGGGTATTTTTGCCTTTTCCAGGCTTTTTCCCAAGCCCCTAGATCAAGCGCTTTCCAGGCCACCAAATTTTGCCCCTAAGCCCTAAAGATACTGCGTTTTTTGAACCTTATATCTGATGAATCGGAATCGCCAAATGATGGGGCATGCGCAAGATATGATGAATCGGAATCGTCAAACCACGGGTACGTTTAAAGATGATATGGTGAATCGGAATCGCCAAATGAGGGGCGTGTTCAAAATACATGATAAACCGGAATCGCCCATTGGGGTTGGGGGCGTGTTTAAGGATATATGATGAACTCCACTGGTCTGGCGTGTTTAAGTGTTCAAAGGTAAAGGATAGCCGGAATCGCCAAATGAGGGGGCGTGTTTAAGATACATGATGAACCGGAATCTCCCAAGGGAAATCCTTGTGTAAGATACATGACGCACCGGAATCGCTACATGAAGGGCGTTTTTAGGGTGATGTGCTGAACTGCAATCCCCAAATAAGGGGACACGTAAAGATATATGATAAATGCAATGCTAAAGGATTTTAGCATTAGTTAGCTCGGGCACTTGAACCTTCGGTCGTCTTCCAGCGGCTCAGAAATCGAACATATTGGCCCCATTGGGAAAGGCGTGTTAAAGATATAAGATGAATCGGAATCGCCACATGAGGGGGCATGATGATGAATCGGAATCGCCAAACCACGGGTACGTTTAAAGATGATATGGTGAATCGGAATCGCCAAATGAGGGGCGTGTTCAAAACACACGATAAACCGGAATCGCCCGTTGGGGGTGGGCGTGTTTAAGACATGTGATGAAAACCATTGGTCTCGTGTGTTGAACCGCAATCCCCAAATGAGGAGACACGTAAAGACATATTATGAACCGCAATCGGCCCCATTGCGAAAGCGTGTTCAAGATATCTGATGAATCGGAATCGCCAAACCATGGGTAGTTTTAAGATTATTTGATGAAGCGGAATCGCCAAATGAGGGGCGTGCTCAAATACATGATCAATCAGAATCGCCCAATGGCACGGGGGCGTCTTTAAGATATATGATGAACCCCACTGGTCTGGCGTGTTTAAGTAAGGTCTATGATATCCTGAATCGCCAAATGAGGGGCCGTGTTTAAGATGTATGATGAACCGTTATCGCCCAATGGTGGGGCGTGTTTAAGATATATGATGCACCGGAATCGCCACATGAAGGGCGTTTATAGTCTGCAAGATATATGATGAACAGGAATCGGCCCCATTGGGAAACGTGTGCTAAAGATATCTGCTGAATCGGAATCACCAGCTGAGGGGGCGTGCGAGATATGATGAATCGGAATCGCCAAACCACGGGTAGGTTTTAAGATCCAACGTGTTGAACCGCAGTCCCCAAATGAGGGGACATGTAAAGACATTTTATGAACCGGAATCGGCCCCATTGGGCAAAGCGTGTTCAAGATATATGTTGAACCGGAATCGTAAGTTTGCATTGGTTCTAGCGTTTAACGGTGATTATTCGTGTTAAAGTTTGGTCTTTTAAGAACTGATTTTTGGTTGGATTCTTAAGCTAATCTCTAAACCGAAAGACAAAAGACGCAGTCAACCCAAAAGAGCAAACGGAAATAACCCAGTGATCAGCCCGAAAAGGTGGTAGGTCCCATCAAAGCTATGATGCACCGGAATCGCCAACTGAGGGGGAGTGTCTTACGATTTATTATGAACTGGAATCGTAATTTCATATGGGTCTAAGTTGTTTGCAGGTCACTATTGTTTTTCTACCTTTTGTACGTGCTTTTTGATGTTTATTGTTGAATTTCCACTGGAGTTTTGGGTTAATATCCAAATCAACAGATATAAAACAAACGCAAATAACCCAGTGATTAAGCTAGAAACCGTAGTAGGCGGATAACTCAAAAAAATAAGGACGCCTCTAACCCCAAAATTAATGACGCAGATAACCCAACAAAAAGACGTTGATTACTGCTTCTCCGCTGCGATGCTTCTGCTACGGAGACATTGGAGGAAGTGCAGACATGCAGCATCATGTAGCACAGGAATTGCAGCGTTGTCACTGCTCTCGCCTGCTGAAGTTTTGGAGGTCTGGAGCTAGCAAGCTGCGAACATTTGAGTTTGTTGTTGCCTTGGCACTGCGGTATTGCAGAGGTGATCCGAATTCGAAAAGGAAAATTTTCGTAGGAACGGCAGGAGTGTCTGCAATCAAAGTGAGGAATAGTCAGGAGGCCCAGTCCTAAACCTCGGGTCTGGCAAATCAGCTGAAGCTTACCGACACAAGGTTTTCCTGCAGTTCTTGGGCCGTTGATTCGACCATGCTAAAGCTTGGCATCCGTCGCTTCTTCTAGGGTCAGCATGGTTCAGGATTTCTTTGCCCATGACTCCCCTTTAGATCTCCCTCGTGTTTGAGCGTTGCCAACCATCATCCCTTCCGGGGGTCTTGTTGGGCGTTGGGCTTTGAGCTGTTGGCTTCTAGCCGCCACTGCTCAATTTTAAGGCTCCTCGGCTTGACCCGTCAGTCTCTCCAGAAGTTTCCTGACGCAGTGTGCATGCATGTGTGCCGCCTTTGTGGCGTTTCCTGTGCCAAGATGAGACCAGAACTTGGTCTCTCGGTGTTCGATTTGCAGGCCTTGGTGGAGGAGAGGAGCACTCTGGCCTTTGCGACCAAGCCTGTCGTTGGCCGCACTCTTAAGCCATGCCAAAGTCATACACATGTGCATTTGCACAAAGAGGGTGGGAATAGATATGACACCACAGCTCACTGACATCCTGGACCCCGGCTCGGTCAAGTAGAAGTCTGGCATCTAGAGCATGTTGGCAGCCACTCCTTCATTCGGTTCTTGATGCTTGCATAGCTCGACTTCCGTGTTCAAACCATACTTGTCGGTGAGCGTTCTGGTGAATATTTTGGCCCCGTGGTCGGGTTTCGAAGACTCGCAGCCCGTTCGCTTGTGTTGCATCGGTTACTGTGATTCGGCTGCATCTATCGTAATTGGCAGCTCGTCTCCTTAAACAGTAGCTTATGAAAAAGGCACCCGTCATGCCTTGTGTGACGGGCAGCGCAGATGTTCCCGGAGTTGTTCTTCCACGTTTGCTTTAGGCTGGGTTTTGATCAGATCTCGTTTCTCCAGAGCAGTTAACTTTTGAGCAGACCTCGTGTCTCGAGATGCAGCAGACTTCAATCATCACGTTGCTTTGTGGAGTTCGGGGTGCATGGAGCTGCTGTGTCTTGACCCAGGCACTGTGGCACAGCTGTTGGAGAACAACCGACATGAGCTGTCCAACCTGGAGATGAAGTGCCTTGCTGCATTTAGGCCTTAGAAGCCAGTTACAACAAAACGATGTCACAGCACTGTTCGGCATGCCTGTGAGCTGCCATGGTGTTGGCTTAGGTGTGGGCTCTTAGACGTGGCAGAGGCAATGCAGTTTCTTCACCAGGCCTGTGATCTCATGACGAGTCTGGGCCGGTAGCAGCACTGAAAAACTGGGCAGGATGCCAAGACGGCACATCTTGGCTTCTCGCCTTACAGCATCTTCATAGACCCACAGGCTCTTAAGGGTGCTCTGCTTTTGAAGCTGTGAGCCTTGTTGGGATGGTCCGGTCCCTGTAAGCGGCTGTGGCCTTCGCAGGGCAAGTGGTTGCTGGGCAGCCTTGGCTTTTCCTTCAGCGGTGTGCGCCACCCGGAGCTGAAGTTGCACCTCATGCAAAGTGGAGTGGCCACGGCCACGTGCAGGCTCAAGCAAGAGACTCTGTCACAGCTTCGCCCGCATGCTCCCGTTCGAAGAGCTGCCTGCACAGCCTAGCCCACTGGATGCTGCTACAAACACGCCATTTTCCGGCAGCCGGCCTTCCTCATCAAAGTTACTGCGAAAGCTCCAACAACGACAGAACCGTCGGATCAACACTTGCGAGACTTGGGCCGTGCGACACAACCGAAGGTGACGTTGTGGACTCGGTGAGATGGCTTGCCTCTCGCATTCGCACAAGCGAGTATGTGCCGGTGCAGTGTATCTTGAAGCCCAAAGCCAACGGAGCACTCATGGCTCTGGAAACCAAGGCAGCCAAGCCTTATGGGGCTTAGGTGCTGAGAAGGAGCTGCAATGCAGATGCAACGTTTCAGCCATGAGCACGCCATCCCGGATCATGCAGACTACCAGCCAGAGAACATCAGAGTTCTCCCACAACTTCTAAAATTGACAGCAAACCTCGTGCGTCCTTCCGGTACTAGTTACTATAGGCAGCTGGCCAGGAAAGGTCTGCGTGGGTCTGCATAGCAGATGGGTTGCTGACAGGGTTCTTGCAGCAAATGTAAGGATGTGTGTCTGTGCTGTGGCACGCGGCTGCCTGCGAGATCATGTGAAAGAAGCGGTCTTCAACTCTTCTTTCTTCAAAGGTGCAGTGGGGGCAGCTGATGGACTGCCCCTTCACTTTCTCGGGACAGGAGGTGCGAGAGAAAGACTTAGCGCTTTGCATAGCAGCCGCCTGGAATTTCTCAGGCGCCGGGAACTTTATCCTTTGAGCCGCCTCCTAGGCAAGACTCGAGTCAGAACAGCTCGGGTTGCACAGTGACACTGCACAGGTATGCTGCGCCAGAGATGTGCGCGTTTCCTGGGAAATGTGGGTGCAAGCCTTGAGATCACTGAGATCCTTACTTTTCTTCCCGCCTCCGCCTCCGGTCAGCTTCAGGTTGGAGTCAGACATGTTTGCCATGGGTCTGCTTACGTGCCCCTGCCATGCGGGTGTGTGGAGGTGTTTTGTGAGTTGGAGACATGGCTGACGCTACGCTTGGCCTTCTTGGCTCAGTCCGATCGGTTTTCCCTCCCAGCGGGGGAGCTGGCATCATGGGTAGCAGCGTGGCATGATGAGAGCATTTGTTGAGTTCTGGCAGGCTTCAGAAGCCTTTTTGACAGAGTGTAAAGTTGACCGGAGACTTCGAAGCCCCGATGAGGGATCCTTCGACACTTTCTGCTTCCCCCAGCCACCGAGGTGATGGCGCAAAGAAAGGAGAGCCGCGGGTTGCTTTCGGTGTTGTGCGGGATGGACCTAGCCCTCCTTGGACGTTCCCCGCTCGCCAGGAAAGCGGCCACCGGAGAAAGGCCGGATCGTGTAAATCAACAGCTTCCTCCTTAAATTCTTTGATTTTCTGTTCAGGAGACGAAGGGAATTCCAGCGAGGCGTTGGCTTGTGGTTGTGGGCTTGAAGGCAGCAAGTCCATGCACATCGAGAGGCCGAAACACCCGTTGGCTTGCTTGCAAGACTCAGACCGAGGAGGCAAGTTCCACTTCTGAGTGGTCCGATTGCGGCTGCTGTTGTGGCTGTTGCTATTGTTGCCCATCATCTTCTCCTCTTTGTGGAAGTGTTCCTGCTGCTGTTACTGTCTTTGCTGCTTTGGTTTTTCAGTGTGGTTTCATTTTTTGCGTTGACATGTGAAAGCATTGTCACAAGCCCTTCATTGATGTACTGGAAGCCAGCATTGTTGCCAGTGTCACCATTGTTGCTGACACTCCTTTGCTTCTTTACATTCTTAGGTTTGTTTTTATCACACGCTAGCATGTGATTCATCTTGCCAGGTCGGAGTTGTTGTTTGGGCATTTATCTGTTTGCTTACTTGCATGTGTCTGCATGCCGGCTTGCGGAGTTGTGGCGAACGCAGCCATCTAGCTGTGCATTCAGTCTTGAGCTTGGCAGACAAGCGCAACATCATCTAGGGCCCCTCTTTCCAACAACCTCGTTGCCATTCGCCCATGGAGAGTGCACTCATGGTGAGACCTGTGCACCACGACTGCAACATGCTGCAGACATATCGCTACTGGTTGGTAAGTTGTAGATGCTCTTGAAGTTTGTAAAGAGTGCTTAGGTCCGCCATTTTGGTGAAGATGACTCTGGAGGAGCATGGCTGAATTTCAGCCGGCTGAATGTCAGCAGTTGAAGCCGCTCGACAGACGATGCCATCAGGAGTTCGCATGACCATCAAGGCAGCGATGCCCTTCAGCTCTTCGACTTCCTTCGTTCTTGACTGCTCGAATGAGTCGAGCAACAGCTTAGATCCAGGCGCAGAAGTCTTTGGATCCATGTGGCTTGGCACGAAGATTTGAGTTGCCTGGTCCCGGCAGATTGCATGCGAATCCGGGACCTCTTCGTGGGCAAGGAGGTTCTTGGAGCCGAGTCGCCGCCTTTCGTACTCACATCACCTTCTGATGCTACATGACATGATGTCTTTATCAGCTAAGTATTGCGGGCGACTGCGCCATCCCTTATGAGACCGAGAATCCCTTCAAGCGCGTGAAGCGGGTGGGATGTCCAGACCCTTCGGCTTGCAATGGCACAGTCTCCAACGTGCATACTCGGCAGGTCGTATACATTCATGATTCGCGAGACGGCCTGTGCGACTCCAAGTCACGAGCGTCAACACTGTTTAACATTATGTAACATTGTGTGTGTGTGTGTGTGCGTGTTTGCATGCCTGTGTGTGTGTGCGCACGACTTGGTGGTAGAGTTCAATCCCTGGATGAGGTGGTATCACTGCTGCGAGTATCGTCCACCCTATGGATCCTTCTCTCATCGCACACCTCCACCAAAGCTGGAAGCCGAAGACATTTCTCTTGGCAGTATGGCTATGAAGTTTGCCTCCGGCTTGTTTAGCAGAAAGGCCCGGGGTGAAGACATCAAGCGTGCGAAATGTAGGTTAGGCTAGGCCCACTATGTTCCATGAAGAGTGACATGTCGCTGCCCTGAGAAAAGCAAGACCGAGCCGGACAAGCTTCCAGTCGGTCAAGCTCCCGAAGCAGAGGGTGACTTCATGGAGAACCCGTCGAGGGCCGAGCTTCTCGAGCACATGAATGACCACAAAGAAACTCTTCTTCCTTGACTTGGGCGATTGGAAGCTGTTAGAAAACGGTTATGTCAGGTGATGCGGGTAGTACACAATGTGTGCGGAACAGGGATGGTCGGAAGTTCGCATGCAGAAGGCTGTGCTGGGGGAGGAACAAACGACTGTCTGCATGGGCAACGTGGCTAAATCGTAGCGGAGGGTGTGCATGGAATGACTGCCTCGAGCCAACTATATCGTCTAATGCTCGCTTGCTCGCTTGAGGCCTCCGTCCTCAGTCTCGTCGTTGTTTGATGCATGGTTTTTGCTTTGCCAGCTCTGTTGCTGATCTATGCTGTAGTGAACATGTGGGTTTCCGAGGCCAGGGCCGCTGCTGCAGTGTAACGTCTATGAAAACCTGAAGCTCGTGCAGAACAAGGCGCATGTCTTGGCAGAAAGCACTGGCACTCGAGTCGGAGAGGGGACAGTCCTGTCCATACCCGTCAGACTCTCGGCACGCGAGAAAGCCTGGGGGACCTGTCGCCAGACTTAGTTGAGGATGTCCAGTCAGTCCGCGTGTCGTGCGAACCTTCTTGTGCATGCACGCTTTTAGCACGTCCGAGGCCGACGAGATGCTTGGGGGATGAAGCAGTGTTGATTCGTCGCTTCACGGGCGGCACCAAACGGAAGGACCCCAAACTTGCGAACCTTGTGGCTTCTGCGAGCCAGCCCGTTTCGTCTACACACGTGAGGAGCCACCGAGCCTCGACACCTACACGCTTCCCAAAGACATGGAGTGCGTCCACGCCTCGGCACCCCTGCTGAAGCAAGAGTCCAGCAGATGCTCCCATGCAAGGTTGACATTGGTCCGAAAGGAACGCCAACTGTCATCGGGAAGGACATCTCTTGCTTCTTCAGTTGCAAACCCTGATAAATGCCAGTATTGCTGTGAGCGTGTAGATGGACTCCTAGACTTTGCACATGGCCGAAGAACTACGCCGTGTTCATGCTGCGAGCCCCGTTGCTTGGGCCTCAGACCGTCTGCCCATTCCACGCATCGCATACCCTGTCCGCTGTCATAGTCAGTGCTGCTGTTGGCCAGGGTCGCAAGTCTCAGAAAAGCATGCGTGCTGTCCTGCCCGCATCGCGGTCTGACAGCAGATGCAGGCTCATGCCATGTCCGATGACGTGCACGCAAAGGACTGAATCAGTGCAGGTTTTTGTGCAGGGGTTTTGTGGCCTGGTGATCGTGATAACATGTGTCGGCAAGGTCTGCGACAGGTCGGCAGCCTGGAGCTGTTTCCCATTGCAGTGATTCTGCCACCTAGCGGTTTCGACTTTCGACCCAAGGACGTCCTGGCGGACGTGACGCAAGATCCGGGCGGCAGTTCTTGTAGAGTCCACACGTCCAGAGCTGCACCGAGCCGAGCAAGCCGATCATCTGAGACTGAGACTGTTTCACTTTCTCATGTGCCAGAACGGGACCCAGAGGAGCTGACACGGACCTAAACCCTCGATTCGACGGCCAAGAAGGGCGAAGCCGACGCGAGAGCGCCAAGCCGGGCAGAGCGCCCCGCTGAGCCAAAGAGCCCTGCTGGGATCTCTTGGAGCTGAGCGATGCTGGCCGCTGGCTCTCGCTCTTTGCAGCGCAGTTCGCTGAGAGAAATGTGTTCAGACTCCGTGCATTTTCAGTGAGTGGCGAGAAGAGTTCTTGTGCGCCGCACTTTGCAGCACCAGGCGAGTCGTCTTCTTCATCGCTTTCATAGGCTTTTGCCAGCGGCCAAGACAGCCAGCCATACGGAACAAAGCAAAGCGCCTCGGAAACTCCTCAGAGTTTTGGGGCGCAGCCCTTCGCTTTCTTCTGACCTCGGCCTCGGCCTCGGCTTGGAACTGTCCGCTCTTCTGCCTGTCCGAGGCTGTTGGATCATGGCTTTCTATGATCCATGCCAGGCCTGCTGACGAATCTTCGCTATGTCAGTATGCTCTTTGAGAGTGGTCGCTCTTCTTCTTCTGCTCACAAAGCAGTTTTGGTGCCAAGAGGTAGAAGAAAAAGCCAGAAAAGATTGCGGGTTTTCTGGGATTAGCCCCTCATAGCGGCGGCCTTGGGCACAAATGCGTGCTGATCTGCTCCCGCAATGGGCCACAGTGTTTTCTTATCTCGCTCTTCAAACTTGGTACCGTGCTCGAGCCTGAACTACCCGCGCCGAGTTGCATGACTGGATCGTGCTTTACGAGTCGCCCGGCGCTTATTTTGCAGCCGAAATTCTGTGGCACGATGCCGCCGGTGCTAGCAGTTGCACAGGTGGTGGCAAGCTAGCCTGGGGCACAGAGCTGTCTGCTGAGCACTAGTTTGTCAAGCGAGGTTGCAATTGGACTGCCAGCCATGTCCAGGAAAAGAAGACCATCAAAGTCAGTCGGAAGAAGGGTGCCACACTGGGCGTGGAGGTCACTCCCGACACTGGCAAGGTCAGAAGCTGAAACACATGCCCAATGTTGCTGATCATGTTAGCCGCTAGCCTAATTGCAAGCAATAGCCCACATGAGCCCTTCAGGGAGATCTCGTCCTCGTGCAGTCCATCTCGGATGGTGCAGTGCCGGATGCTTTCTGGAATCTCGACAACCTTGTGCCTACCGTACATCTGCGGCAGCTGGCAGGTTAGAGCATAACTCCAATCTGCCGGCAGACTCATCTGAACGGGTGATGGTCGGCGACGCTATTGCCAAGGCCAAATGCATGAGCCGAGCCCACACGGCAACAGAAGGACAGAGATGGGATGATAGGTCGATGGCAGCGCCAAGGGTCTGACGGATGCTGCGGCCTCACTAGCAATGCAGACTGGGGCTTCGCTATCTTCCGTGTCGGCCAGGCACTTTCTCGTACCAGCGAGAAGACCGTTGAAATTGAGATTCGGAGATCTTCCCTGCAACGACCTTGGTGCTGCAATCCAAACCTTGGCTTGTGCATTGGTTTGGTTACTTGATGAGGCCCAGTTTTCTGAAATGGATGAGGAGCTCGGCCAAGCCAGACTCCGAGCCACTTTTCGCTTGTGGACAACAGCAGTCGTTTGGCGCTGAGACCGGGTCCTATCGAGACCGTTCTGACCGCTCCTGGTTTCAAGCGCACTCCCCTCGGTGTGGGTGGTGAGTCCCAGAGTCCCAAGCTCGTTTAGTGCGAGGTTGGTCGAAGCTGACCTCGCAGCTGGGTACTGTAGGCAGGATGCGTTCGATCGCCGTGTGTACCGTGTTGATCCCTTTTGTCCGCACCTCTCTTGCCAGTGCAGTCCGCAGGTTTGGCCAGCTGGCTACTGTCTGGCTATGGGCCAGCATCTCTACCTGTGCTGCTTGGCCACGTCTTGATGCCGTCCCAATGTAATGTGCTGGCTAACCTTCTTTGCTAGCGGCCAGGTGGTATTTTGGCTTCTCTGCCGCCGTAGGATACAAACTCGTCAGGCCTGTCCGACGAGTTTTCGTTGTCTGTTTTGGGTAACACTTGAAGGTGTTGTCATGACGAGCACGTTCAAGCAAAAGTGCCTCACTGCTACAGACCAGCCTGCAGCTTGAGCCGGCGTTGCAATGCATGGGTCTGCGGATGTGGTTGTGGTGCAGCCGAGGTAGAAGATGAGCTGCCTGAAGTGCTTCAGAAGGACAGCTAGCCACTGTTACTCAACCCGTCGGCCCTGATGTCAGTCAAACACCACCTTGGGGAGGCTAGAGATGCGAGTGTTTCCTTCGCTCAAAAGCTTGCGAGCCAGTGGAGGCCGGGAGTGCGTTGAGATCGCGCTTCCCTTGATTTGTCGAAACGTTTCGAAGTCCTGCTCCTGAGATTTCAGGCTTGTCTGGATCCTTTGGTGTTTCAAGGTTCTGGATATCCAAAGCAGGACATGAACCTCCCCGCCAGGGGTAAGTCACCTCTCTAAAGTTTGCTGACGCATGAAGCCCTAATGCCTTCGCAGAGGTACGGGGTAGACTTCGCTGTCATGCCTGCTTCGAAACATGTACATGGCGAGTTTGCATAATGCCGGAGGTCGCTTGCCGAAGAGGTCATGGCTTCGTACACGGGTGCGAATGACAAGAAAAAGGACAAAAAGAAACGAAAAAAAGACAAGTCGGAGATCTGAGATGGAGCTGAGGCAGGGGATGCACGAGATCTCAAGTTATCGAAAAGAGTTGCTACTAATGCAATTATCGGAATCCACGGCAGTTTCGGTTCGCCTGACCTGTGGCAGGCCAACACCAAAGCCTTCGCACTATTGGTGTTTCAGCTCCAGTGTTAGTGACTTGATCAATGCCTTCGGGCACGATCATATTATGTAGCTTCGGATGCTGATGAGATGGCAAATAAAATGCGCGACGAAGGTAAGACCGTCAGTTGTTCTTTGATGACATCTTGCATCCAGAGCTTCTGGAGTCCAGGGTTTGCGGCCCTTGGCAGTCCCAGAGTGGACTCACATGCATCAAAAAAGGTTGTCATCACAGGATGCCGGTGGTCGTAGCAACGTGGCATGCCTGCAAGTCGGCTCCATCGTCAGGTACGAGTTGATGTGTGTCGATCGGCAGCCGTTGTTAAGATCTGCTCCACGAGGCACCAAGCGGGCGTCCGAGAGAGCTGCGGCGGACCTGTGACAGCCGGCCTTTTCAGGTTTCAACACGAGCGTCCTTCGACAACAAGCCGTTCCTCCCGAGCTGTATCCCATCCTCCTGAAGCTTCTGAGCCGTCGGCTCAGGGCCACGGCAGCCACGGCAAGGCCTCAGAAGGATGTTCAGGTTCAGGTCAAAACCACGCTTTCAAGGTCCCAACCCGTCTGAAAGACTCACGATTGCAGCCTTGCGCTCGGAGACTCTGAAGGTTGAAGAGGTGAGCATGCGTCTGGCCCTTTCAGGCCTTCATCAACTCTGAGTTTTTCATGGACGTCAACGTGCTCATCCCAGGGCTTTTGCTCGTTTGCAGACGATGTGGCCTGACGCATGCCTGCATTCTGCAGCCATTCAGAGTGGAAGGTTCGAGCCATTCGTTTTCTGGAACAGCTCAACGAAAAGGACGAGGCCCTGGCCCTGGGAACGGCATCAGTGGATCTTCACGCCAAAATCATCACAAGAGGGATTTCAGATCTTATGCCGAGGGTTTGTGCTACCCCTGACAGGCACAGCGTATTACTTTTCTTCGCGGACTGCCAAAGCTTTTGCAGGATGGCTTTCGGGAGACAGGCAACAGTCTTTAGTCTTGCTCCTGCGAGAACGCTGGTATCACGGAAAGTCTGGAAGTGCATGTCGTGAAATAGCTGTTCATGATGTCAATGTTGGTGACATGGACAAACATTATTTTTCTAGCAGTCTTGCGGTCATGAGGGTAAGTACGGCCGGATCCATGATGAAAACAGCTTAGTTTGCAACACCTGTAGTATCCGCAGGTTACAGGTATGGAAGGTTTAGCGAGTGTGAAAATTGTGGTTCCGTCAGTGGCACAGGCGATCTTGGCAGTCCAAGTTCATACATAGTTCTGCAAGGATGCTCGCAGTTTTTGTTTTGCCAACAGCACAGCAAAGATGACTTGTCTGGTTTGGAGTTGGTTTTTTTTAGGGTTTAGGGTTTAGGGTTAGCTTTACCTTGAGCTTCGAGTTTAGGGTTTAAGGTTTAGGGCGGTGGCGACGTGGATGATGCTGTGGGAAGGTTCAGGGGCTGGTGTTGATGATGTTGAAAGTGCGCAAAGACGACCGTTTTCCTGTCAACTTGTTGACACAGATTGAGGCGTATTCCTGTCAAACAGCATGCTTTTATCTATAGTCCGCACTCGCTGCTAAAATCACCAGCCACTTTGCACATTTCGCAGATCTTTGCAAGACCAGTGGTCCTGAATGCCTTACCCACTACACATGCCATTCTGTTTCTTCTGTGATGATGACCGTGTAACTCTGCACATGCCATCGTCACTGCTATTAAACTATTACTTGTATCATCTTCTTTGGTGTCTCTCCTTTGATGCTAAAAGGACTCATCGGGCAGAGACTTAGATTGTTGTGGAGTTGTGGACATGTTTCATTTGATGAGGCAGCGGAGGTTTGTGATTGTGAGACAAGTGTTTGTGAGTTTGGCCACCGCCAAGACATGAAGGAGCAGTCACACCTGAAGAGGTGTCGCATGCGGCATTTTCAATACAGCTTTCTCCTCCTACCTATACTGCAGCATCGACGGGTGCGTCTTTTCAATCTATTTGTCTCGAGACTGCACACTGCACCAGGGCGAGAGTCGGGCGGAGCAGGATTCCAGTTGTAGTGTTTGATGTTGTGCACGTCTCGACAATTTCGCCACACCACGCTGAGGGTGATGGAAGGAGCTTATCCTTGTGATTCGCGCAAGTTTCGATTGGAGGGAAGAGATTATCTAGCACACAAGACACCAACAGAACAAATACCAACAGCAAGCCGATCGAGATCCGAAAAAGCCAGTCTTGACGGCACGGATTCTGACAACAGGACGGATAGAACTGATAGTAGTTGTACGAAATGTATGCATCAGATGGTTGACCTGACAGAATGCAGTTTCGCATAATTTCCATAATCTTTGTACTGACCGACAATGTTCATCTTGTTACATGCACATAAACGATGCTCACTTTTTTCCGAAGCAACATCGCAGGTCCTCATTTTCAAGCATTCTGGTATGCCTGCGTACAGCGTCAGCTTGCGCATGCACCGTACACTCACAGCTGCAGCCGTTTCATGGCAGAAATTGCTGCAGGAGTCGCATATTTCTGCGCACTTTTGTCTTTTCGCTGGTGCGCTTCTTGCTTTCGCTTGCTGTTTTCTGTTTGTTGCAATGCCGTGGACATTTCATGTTCACAAAGCACCCGGCCATCCTTCGCTGGGGAGTGGCAGGGCCAATCCTCAACATGCGTGCTCTTGTTTCTCTTTGAATACTGGTGGCCTGGCAAATCCTGCCGTGCGAATTTCCCGCGCAGAAGTTCCTAATTGGTCTAGCGCTGAACGACAGGTGTGTTCTGTTGAAGTTGGGGAGCCGGCTCCGAAAGTGGCGCGATTTGCTAGAGTCGCTGCTTCTACTTTGGACGGTGCTGGCGCCTGTGATTTGGGTGGATCAACTTCACTTCGCAGAATAGAGGACTCTGACAGGAGGAAATTTTGTAAGGCTTGGGCCATTGTCGCTCGAGGGTGTTTGCAGTGGAGTTCCCTTGGCCTTGCGGACGTTAAGGAGATCCATTTGGAACGTTTGTTTGAAGACAGAGCTGCGTCTACGCTTCGGAAACATCTTAGTGGATGGCGATTGTGGATGGAGTTCTGCTTCTCGCTGGGATGGTCAGTGGGAGCTCCTAGTCTCGCTCAGGTACTCGATTTTCTCGAAGCTTTGGCGGGTAAAGGTCGAGTAAGCAAAGGGATGGGTGTTTTATCGGCGATGCGTTTTGTTGCGTGGAGTTGAAGGGCCTGCGGCAATCGCTTGATTGCCAGTTGGTTCGGGTTTGGTCCTCCCGGGACAAGTGGCAGAAAGGCCATACACGTGAAGCCATCCCACTTTCCCTTCATATGGTCAAGAATTTGGAGATAGCTTGTTCTTCTGCTGCGGAGGATGACGTTTGGCTGATCTTATGTTTTCTTCTGATGATCTTTGGTAGTTTGCGTTGGAGTGATGCTCAACGGATGGATCTGGTTTCTGTGGTGTGCGACAAAGATTGCTTATATGGCTGGTCGTGGCGCTGCAATCAAGATGCTGCAGGAATGCCCTGGGGCGTCGTTTGTGAAGGTGTCTCTGGTGGCAAGTGGGGGCATATGTTTTTTCGTGAGCTGTCGCGTTTGCGATCTTTGTCTCCATCTCGGGACTTCTTGATTGGTAGATCTGGAAGTCCTATTGGCTATTCAACTGCTCTAGCTCACTTCAGACGTTGTTTGGTCAAGTATTGCGGCCTCACGTTGGCTGCAGCTGCTGAGTTTACTATGCACTCCATGAAATGTACATTCTTGACCTGGGCTCAACAGGCTGGAGTGGGTTCTCGCGATTCCGCTGCGCAAGGTCATCATAGAGAGCCAAATGTCAACAAGTGTGTGCCGAAGTATGGACGTGATGATGTTTTTCCTCAACTGCGTTGTCAGCGTGTAGTGCTGGATAAGCTGGCTACGGGTTGGGAGCCTTTCGTGCCTTTGCGTAGGGGTACTACCCATCTACTTGATCTACATGGGCCATCATTGGACTTTGCTGCTGCGACAGCCACTGGTGAGGATGTTGCGTGCAGTTCTGTCGAGCAGTGCGTGTCTGGATCGGAGACGGAGGTGTCGGAAGACGAGGATTCAGACGCGGAAGGCTCTGTGTGCAGTAATTGCGATAGCGATGAGGATTCGTGTTGCGACAGTGACGACGACACTCTGCTTTTTGATGGACCGTGGGTGGTTAATAACAATACTGGCTGGTACCGCAAAGCTGTACCAGTGGCAGAGAGCGCTTTGTGCTTCAATGGACAATGTTGGGGCCTGGCGTGTCGTCCCAAGGCCAAGATGGTGGCTTCGTATCGTGTTATGGAATCGTCTCCGGGCTTGCAGGGCTTCACGTGCTGCGGGCACAGTGGATGTGGAGTTTAAATTCTAGTGATTGTTGGTGTGTGAGCCCAGGTCGCTCCGTTATTATGCAGAGATATTATCTCTGTGTTGGCGCTTGGGATGTATGGTGGTCGTTTTGCTGGCAACATTGGTGTCAGGTAGCTGCATTGCTATATTTCTGGTTGGGGTAGCTGCAATGCTACCTTGGGCTCTGGATGCTGCAAGGCTTCCATCTCTAGTTTTGCGTTTTGTGTATGGCTGCAAGGTCATGTGGGAGGTTGGGTGGCTGCAACGCTACCTAGTTGTTTTCCCGTCTTGGTGGCTGCAATGCTGCCTTTGTTGTTTGCCGGGCAGCCGCAGTGCTGCGTATGTATTTTGGGTGACCTGCAATTTTGCAATCGGAACTATGTGCTTAGCGGATTGGGTTGGCGTGTGGCGTTATTTTTTGCATGCATGGCGCTGGTGGTCGTTAGTTGCTTGAGAGTTATTGACAGACGTTCGATCAGTTTGCTAGCGCTTGCCTTGCCTTCTTTGTGTTGCCATGTCTGCTTGGCCGTTGATGCTGAGCAACGCTGGTGTGCCTAAGGAGCTGGCTGAGGTTGTCGTGGAGAAGTACGTTACAAGTCAACTTTTCTTTCATGCGTTTCGGAGTTTGGAAAAGCTGGATGCTTATGCTCACACTGCTCTAATTGTGGCCAAGCTGATTGTTTCTGATGCGGTTGACTGGGACATTCACCCTGCTGTAGCCGCTTTGAGATCAGTGTGGTGTGATTTGAAGGATTGCAAACCTCCTTCGTCTGGTTCTCCGAGCGTGGTCGAGTCCCAGCAGCTGGCATTGCCTTTTTTGCAACTTTCCTCACGCATGTCGGCTGGAGATCGGCATCAGTTGGTTGAGAAGTTCGAGAAGAATTATCCTGGTGTGTTTATCTCTGACATGACATTGCCGGGGCTGCAGCTCTTGCAATCGGTGCGAGCGCAGTGTTCAAATCGGTCCTGGGAGTGGATCTCCTGGAGGAAGATTCTCAGCGAGGACACTATTCAGCGCATGCGAGAAAAGAAAAAGTCAACTAAGCCGAAAGATGCTTGGGAATATTTGGCTATGAGCAATGGCTGGGAAGCCGAAGAGGTTGAAGACGTTGGTGCATCCCCTTTCCGAGTGGAAAAATTGCTCGGAGTGCGCGCCAATGCCTATGTCCTTTGCGGTTGCGGGCACCCCTACAGCTGGGCGCAGTACAATGCGCAATTCATGGCCCTTTACACGGAGCCGCCTGCTGAAGGTTATCGGCTTCCAACTGTAAAAGAAGCTGAGGAGGCAGATCGGCAAGTTGTTGGTGAAGTGTTCAAGCTGCTGTACCAGGGGGAGCTGCCTGATGATGCTTTGCAGACAGTCGTGAAGGAGCGGGACTGCCTCCGTCGACTTCTCTTTTGCCCACCGAAAGGCAACAAAGGGGTTGGCAAGGGCAAGGATAGGGACTTCGCGGTGAAGCCAAATCCTAAGATGCCTCTCTCGAGGCGTCGTGTGAATGCCGGTGACAGCGTGCCGGCGAAGAAGCTGAAGCGCTCTTTGTGTGACGCCTTCCAGAAGCACAAATGCAAGTTTTCAGCTGAGGATTGCAGATTCGCTCGTCGCTGTCAGCTTTGTCGGAAAGATGATCACGGTGCTGATTTTTTGCCCTGGTAGAAAGCAGGAGTGACTATCTGGTGATTTGAATCTTGACTCTTCTTCTGCGTTACCTACTTCTCGTGCCGAAGTTGTGATTGAGTCCGTTGAGTCAGCCTCTTTGCTGGCTGGTTCTCCTGAATCTTTGGCTGTTGATGTGGGGCATTTGAAGAGTGGTAGTTCATCATTGCCGGCTGGTTGTCCACAAAAGAATGCTTGTATAAACTTACACTCGCAGATCCCTATTGTGGATGGTGGGGGCTGCTTGTCTACGGCTGATTGGAGTGTACCCCGTGAAAAAGAAGATCACTTTTCTGCCTTACGGAAAAGGTTTAGCCATTTAGCCTCTGATTGGGGTCTCCTAAAGAGGCTGAGCGCTCATGTTGAAATTCGCTGCGAAGAGTCTCTTTTCACGCCTGAGGAGGTCGAGGTTTTGCGCAAGGAGGTTTTGTCATTCCTTTCCAGCAAGGGTTTTGTGTGCGACGACAGCGTGATGGACAACCAGCCCTTTCTGTTGAGTGTGTGGCAAGCACTGAGTGCCTTGACATCTGATCAGGATGTTGAACTTCCTAGACTTTTGCTGGCAGGCGTTTCCACTGGGATTGTGCAACCAATCCCTCCTTCAGGTGTGTGGGAAAAGGTCGCGGAACCTGTCGCTGTCGAGCAGGATCTGCGTGTGCACCTTGAGCCGTGGCGCAGTGCTTCTGATAATTTGGCTTTGGCAAGAAAGCTTGTCATGGATGATGTTGCCGCGGGCCATGCGTTTGTTCTTCCTGGAGGAGAAGCTGAAGCTCGTGCGAGATGGGGGGATCGTATTGCTGCAGGCAAATTTGGTGTAGTTCAGGTGCCTGGCAAGAACCCGCGACTTATTGGGGATGGGTCCGTCAGTGGGGCCAACGCAGCTAGCCAAGTACTTGAGAAGGTACGAAATCCTTCGTTGCACGCCGTGCAACGATTTCTGTCTTGCGTTGACAGCACTGTTAGCTGGAGCCTCTGCAGTTTTGACGTCAAGGGAGCGCACAAGTTGGTGCTTGTGAGAGAGGATGAGCAGGAGTATTCTTGTTTTGTATTGGATGGTGTTTGGTACTGTTATCGGAGTTGCTATTTTGGATGTAAATGGGCTGCGTATTGGTTCAGCCGAGTTGGTGCTTGGTTGGTCCGGATGCTTCATCGTGTGATTTGGGTGAAGCACGGAATGTTTCTGTTTGTGGACGATGGGCTGGAGTTCCTGCCTACTGCCGTGGGTCCACTTCTGGCGCTTCATTCTCTAATGTTTCTTTGTGGTATCGGTGTGCCTTTGAGCTGGGGCAAGTTGCGCTTTGGCCAGTGCTTGGTTTGGATTGGTTGGAAATTTCACGCAGGTACATGCCAAGCCAGTTTACCGGCGGACAAGGTGGCCAAGGCTCTCGAGGCGCTATGTCCTTTGCTTCACAAGGGCAACAAGGTGGAACGCAGACAGGTCGAGAAGGTAGTGGGATTTCTTGGTTGGTTCTGCGGCGGGGCTTTCTGGCTGCGTGCCTGGTTGGCAGCCCTTTACAAGCTGTTGTACAAGCCGTGTGCGGTGACTCGATTGCTGTGTGTGGACGATTTCTTTTCGCTAGTTCAGGTACTGGGCCAGGATTTGCGGGTTACGCAGTCTTTGCTCTTTTGCGATATTTGCGCTGGCTGGAAGCTTCACTCTGTAAACAATGCGATGATCAATTCTCTACATTCGACTGCTCTTTTGTCGCCACGGATACGTCATGGATGCATGAGTGTGGTGTTGTACAACTATGGTTCTTCGACCTGTCTAGTGGACTCGCAGTCAGTCAAGGCGGCTACTTTGTTTTACAATGCCATTTCAGTAAGCACGTTTATTCCGCTCCAATTTGCTCCGCACTCATCGGGCTTGGCTCTGCTGATGCCTGGGCGGACGCTGAGCATGCTGGCCTGGGAGGTTGGTGGTTGCCGGATGGCGCACCAGTGGATGCGGCCGAGATACATTGGTTCAGCGTTCAGTTGACCAGGAAATCACTTCCCTCCTGGTTTCGCGCAGAGGGCAACGCTTCGCTTCAAGCATGTATTGCTGCCTTGGAAGCTGTTGCGCAATTGATTCTCCTTGTGCTGCGTCGCAGGCATGCTCAACTGCTTTCTTTTACAGTGACCGTGCAGTTTCGTCAGCTTTGTGACAACGCTGGGGTTACTGCTGCCTCGGTAAAGTCGCTGAGTCAGAAGGAGCCGTTGTCTTTTGTTCTGCAGGCGCTAGGATATTATTGCTGCAAGTGGAACCTCACACTACATTGCTCGCATATTGTTGGAGAGCGCAATGTCTGGGCGGATCGGCTTAGCCGTAATGAGATCCCAGCTGGTGTTGATCTACGCAAACGTTATTTCGTGGATATCGTGGAAATATTGCAGTTGCCTTGGAAATGAGCACAGTCAGGCGTATTGTTCAGAGATCTGAACCCGTTGGTTGGGGAGCTTGTCACACCTGAAGTTGGGAGAAGCGATTGGGCTGCGGCCGTTTCTTGTGTGCAAGCTCATTGAAAAGAGGCGTGCAGCGTGTGTGTGTTGGTATGCCTGCGTACAGCGTCAGCTTGCGCATGCACCGTACACTCACAGCCACAGCTGCAGCCGTTTCATGGCAGAAATTGCTGCAGGAGTCGCATATTTCTGTGCCCGCCCACCCACCCTGAGGGGTACTGTAGTTAACGGTGCCCCATGTGGCATGGATGGGAGAAGCGATTGGGCTGCGGCCCTTTCTTGTGTGCAAGCTCATTGAAAAGAGGCGTGCAGCGTGTGTGTGTTTTCCAGATACGTATCATACACATGTAGAGGGAGTTCCAGCACCCAAGAAAATCCCCGTGGTCCTTCAACCAGGACACAAAGAGCCCCCTTTGCGGTCAGCGCGTCATGCGTGAGCGAGCCTGGAGCTCAGAGTAACCGGCCATGTTAGATTTCGTGCGGTTTTCGATCATGGCAGGCTATCGATAACCTCATCGTAAGAAGTGTCAAGCTTGCTGCTGTGAGTAGCAGAGTGGTTCCGCATGCAAGGTGCTGCCCAGACTTTGTGGCCAGATGCTAAGCTGGAAGCCTCCGGTTGGTAGCAGAAATAGTGTTGCAAGTACTTCATGGCTTGGAGACTCTGTCTTGCGGAGTGCCAGTAGCTGACAATCATGGGCATTATTTAGTCAGAGCAGACATCATGGCTGATGTGACAATCTGACTCATGGCTGTGCTGCATCCTCCGTGAGCTGTCGAATTTCGAAAGGTGTAGGCATGGCAAGCATGCAAGAGATGTCGTTTTGCCCCTGCCGCGATAGCTTCCATCATCATGGCCGGTGGATAAACAAAGTGTCTTCGGCCCTGTGACAAGAATCAGCAGCCTGCTAAGGAAGACCTCGCATAACTGACACACGAAAGGATAGGGAGCACTGTCCGTGATCATTTTATCCAGAGATATCTTGAGCGAATGAATGAAGGAGCCAGGGTCTCAGTTCCTGCCTCTCGTGTTTGCCCACACCCAGAGTGAGCAACGCTGAAATGCTTTCAGCCAGAGGCATGGAGGTCATGAGAAGGAGGATGATAAAGCTAGGCCAGGAACCCAGGACCTCAGACTCTGCGCAGAAGCGAGAAAGCGCTGCTCTAGCCCGACTCAGGAAGCAGGGCGAAAGGCTGTTCAAGCAGGGTCAACTGCAGATTCAGAAAGCGAAGGCTCGAAGCTGAAATGCCCACGCGGGGTCTGAGTCTGAGAGGGCTTTGGAAGTGCTTGGTCCCGGAGGCTGCATTCGTCGACCAGGCAGGAGTTGAAACTGGGCAGTGGGGGTTTGCAGTCAAACAGCTTACCAGTACACCAATCCGAAAGAACGTGGAACACAGCCGTGTCGTCCATGTGAAATCGTGTAGAGCTTGGGGTTCGGTCTTTGCGCACCGCTGCTTTGGAGTTTGTCTGCCAAGTGCGGAAGTTGGTAGGCAGTTAACAGTGATCACTCTTCGCACGAGTACTACGCGTCTTTGGACTCGTTTAGGTTGACTTCGCCCCTGGACAACTGAGATAGCTCGGAGGCAGCAGCTGTTCCGACGCAGGCTGAGAAACCGATCAACTGTCGCACAGCAATCATGTCTGGCATGCCGTGACGGGCCACTAGAAACCCCCGTTGGCAAACCCTCGACACTAAAAGGATTCCGGGCCGATGGCTGGAAGAACTACTGCAGGCTACGGCATCTACGGGCTATGGCTATCTCCAAATGCGGAGCCGCTGGCACACTCGCTAGAACAGCAAACGCCACCGCAAGTGTGGCGTTTGGCAATGATTCCTGACAAGCCCAAGAGCCTCTATGAGCTGAGCATGCGAGGAATGGTTAATGGCCCTGAGCCCAAAATCAGCGTAGCCTTAGGCCTTAGGTGGCAGAACGTCAAAGCGAAGAGCGGCGTTGCAGCTGCTCAACAATGGCGGAGGCAAATTTAAGCGATGCCGTTCCCCCTTGGGTTGCGTGATCCTTCTGGTTGGTACCAATTGTTGTGACAAAAAAAGCCAGTTACGAAACCACAGGTCGTTGAAATGCCAGCCCGTCACAGCCGCTGGAAGGTCTTAGACCTGCAAGCTATCTGCGGCATAGGATATGTCAGCCTTGCACGACAGTTTAGTGCGGTATGGAAATGCCCCACTGCTGCTTTAATTCGCGGTTAAGGACGACGATTGGCGCGCCATATCATTGTTCTCTTGGGTTTCCATCTGGAGTGACATGTTTCTTTTGGAGCTTCTGCAGCCATGCGTTTAAGTTTTCGGGTCAAGCAGTATTCGGCCTCCCTATTTTGGGTGAGCCAACCGTCGTGTGATCTTTTCCTTGGTTTAGGGTTTGACTCTCATGTTTGTTCGCCTGCTTACTTGCAACCAAGAATGACAAGTAGTGAGAGCAATTCTTAAAGTTAGTCTTGCCCTGAAGTTGCTCCCACTCTGAGCCGCACCCTTTTCTCAAAGGGTCATGTCGGTGCATCACAGACCAAGGCCAAGCTCGTGTGCGCAGTCCTAGAACCGTGCTTACACACCAGCGGGATGTCCAGATGCACAGGCTGAGACTTAACCGCTACGTGGTTGCAATGCTTTCTTCGGTGGCCAGCCGTCGTAGTTTTAGGGTTTAGCTTGTAAGCGTTACTGAAAGCCATCATTTTTCTGCACAGGCATCGTATGCCGTATGTCGCTTTGTCGTGGTTTAGGCACGATCTTGCTTTGCGTGTTTTAGAACATGTCAAACCCTCTTGGTGACTTTGGGGGATCGATTGTCGTTCCGTTGCAGTTTCGGCACGGTTTTGCTTCCTGAAGAAAAGACTCAACACTGTCGAGGGTGTCGGGTGCCGCATGTAGTTAGTTTCAGGCATGTTTTGTTTCGCCGATGCTAAACACCTGCAACACTCTTCAGCACTCTCAGACGACTCTCAGAGCCTCTCCGGAGTTCGTCGCCAAGCGGCTGGCCCGCGATCAACCTGTCTTTGGTGGGACATTCCTAGGCATTGCTGAAATGATTGTCACTGGTCAGACGCATGGAAAGTTTGTCCGTGCCTCGTGGCTTGTCAGCCATCATCTTCTGTAGCATGCAAACAGAAATAAGACAAACACACGCACCTAAGCAGAACCCACGCCTTTCCCCGGTTGCTTGCAGGGCTGTTTTTCCTGTGGTTGTCCTGCTTTCTGTTTTGCTCACGCCGCTGCTTTTTCCTGACCGTTGCCGCCTGCGCTTCTTTTGCGGATTTCACTGACTCAAATTCCGTTTACATCTTTGGGGGGCGGGAGTTTCAGCACAGAGCCTCCGCCGAACCTTGAATCTTGTGCTGGCATCCCACCTGGGCTTCGGTGTACAAGATTACATGTCTTGCCTGGTGCTGCTTTTGTATTGGATTTAGCTTTCGACAAGTTCAATTTCTGCTAAACTGGCTCGCATCTATTCTGCGAGCTTGTCTGGGCTCCATGTCTTCCAGGCGGTAGCCGAGTACGATGCTGCTATCCGGCTGTTCGGCGAGGTTGGGGTTTACCAGCCTCTAACTGTGAGTAGCGGTGGAGCACGAGTAGGCCCGGCATGGCATGGAAGATCGTAGAAGAGCATGGAATTGAAGGCGATCTCGCTGCGCCCCGATGCTGTGGCGTACCGCCAGGTTGGTACTTCAGCAGATGCATGCGTTTTGCCCCGCATGTGTAGAAGCGGGGCAGCTGACGCTTGAGGCTCGTGGTCGCTGCTACATCGCCGTGCAGCAGTGCCCAACATTAAGCTTTCATGACCGGAAGCATCGTTGTAAAATCAGAGAGGGATGCGAGGTAAAGTCGGAGTCGTATGTGTTGTATGTGCTGGCAAGACGCCCGCTACCCTCCCAACTGTTCGTGACTGCTGCACCAAGATGCATGCTTTGGCCACCATACTTGAGTTTTCATGGAAGTTTGCTTCGAGGTACAAGCTGGCACATTCGGACTTCGTGGTGTGCTGCAAGCTGGAACCAGGCGGAAGTCCTTTTGCTTCCCTGAAGTGTCCTTTTTTGGCGCTGGTTTGGCCGCTTAAAGGTGCTTGTAGCCTTTGCCGAAACCCGAGGCCAGGCTCGGCACTTTGCTCATCGGGGGCAGTGCTCCAGACGCCTCGGGGATGTGAACGTCGGGGACCAAGGGACGGGGTTATCGGGTTTTGACCGATGCGATTGGGGGCGGCCTCTGTTTTCCAAGGGTGCGCTCAAAGACTACGACGACGCAATTCGTGTGCTCCCCGGGTGAGAATGAATCCTAGCCATTCCTAGCCTTCGTTTCTTCTGGTCCCATATGCTCACTTAGAAGTGTACTTTCAAAAGCATCAGTCGTGGAAACGGGTTTCCGTCTTGGTCTTTCCTGGTATCCCGGTCATTGCGCGTGCAGGTCTCCAGGCTGCAGCGTCTCGGTGGTGTTTTCCCGCTTGGCTGCGTCTCCATGTCCTGGTGTCCTGCTGCTGGAGTCGTGTGTCTTGGTGTCTCGTCCAATGTCCCAATGTCTGTCCGAGTGCCGGGGTCTTGATGTGCCAGTGTCTCCGGTGTCTCCTCTGGGTTGGTGTCTTGACATCGGGATGTTCGATGTTCAGTTAAGGCGTCATGGTGTTTCGATGTCCCGTTGTTCTGGTGTCGCTGTCTCCTGAAGTCCCGTATGTGTCCGGTGTTTAGTTGGCCCCAGAGGCCTGAGGGGAGGTGTGAGATCGCCTGTGAAGTGGAGAATGCATGGAAATAAACTGCATAACTTGATTACATGGTCATAACCATGTTCCACAATGTCCTCACGAGTCCTGCTGGCACGCGAGATTGCAGGAGGTGGCTTCCCAGACAGGGGGTTCAGCGGATACCGGAGTCATGAAGCCGAGCTTCAGGTAAAGCGGAGAGAGACCTGTCTGAGAACCACCAGCGGCAGGCGGCAAATGTTTATGGTGCCACTGCTCTTGACAAGTTTTGTTGCCTTTACCGGTGGCCGGAGGCTGCTGAGTACTACTTTGAGCGGGCGTCCGGACCCCAGTGATGGGTCTTGACTGTCGGCACCCGAACTACCTCCCCTTCCGATCGTGTGCTGCATGGCTGGGTCATGCAGCTTCCTTGTTTTTTGTTGAGTTGGGTCTGCTGTGACTGGTCTTGGCATCCTTTTATGTTGAGGCTGGTGCACATTGATTTGGAGCTTTACGACAAGGCGATTGAAGGTCTCACTCAGGCTCCATCGAAGTGTTGAGTGGTAGACTCCAGTCGGTTCGGGTCCTGTGTATTGCCGCCAGGCCCTCGACAAGCGCCTGCCTGCTCCATACAAGGCCCGCTTTCGTTAACAGATTGGTGGCACCTGATCTTGTTGCACGCCGAACGCAGGCTTTCTTTCATCGTGGAATCTGCTATAGACGAGCTCAGCCCCAAGACACGCACGCAGAAGCATGGAGTTTTCTTCGGCCTCAGCATGTTCACCTCGACCACACCGCTTGCTAAGGTTGGGCAAGTGGCGGAATCCATCCAAAACTTGAAGGAGGCCATCAACCTTGACACGGTGACGAGCTAAGAGCGTTGAATATTCGTGAATGCCAGATTCTTTTCTTGTCACGAAGCGAATGTGGCCGAGACCAGCGCCGACGCTCACAACCACCTCGGCTTGTCTCACATCCAGGAGCAGAACTTCGTGCGGCACTGAGGGTCAGTGTGTTGATGTGAATTAGTCGGCCGGCATGCCCGAATCGTGTGTCATCCAAGGAAGAAGCGAGAAAGTGCTTTGCAAATGCCGTTGAAATAGATACCTGCACCAGGCGACCGGGCGAAAGCAGAGCCATCGAATGCCTTTTCTTGTCTTTGATACGTTGGTGGGCCAGAAGAGCCAATATGGGTGCGTAAAGGCGCAAAGGTACACTAAGCCACGAAATTGCCTCGCAAGGGTTTTTCACGGAAAGAGAAGGGCGAAAGTGGAGCTATCAGAACCTGGTTTGTTCGGTTCAGGGTCGAGGTCACTTCGACCGCAGATCGAATCTATCAGTTATCAACTTCGAGCACTTCCATGTTTTGTGTTTTCCTACCGGTGCAGGTATTTGAACAACCGTGGTCTGGCAAGCTATCACTTGGAAGAGCTCGGGCCCCAAAAGCCGCGCCAGGTCCGGTGTTGAGACAGCATGGCAGCCTTTAAGGTACATGGATGCGGCCGCTGACTTTACGGCGGCTCTTGAGGCCAAAGATGCGTACGTGAACTCACCCCCTCCACCCCCTCCAGCATCACTACCACGAGCCAAAGGCAGAGCCCGACAATGCCTCTGCAGTGAGCTCGGCCGCGTCACAGCTGCGACCGTAGCAGGGCCTGGCCTTGTTGCTCTCAGGTGCTCTTCAACCGTGGAAACGCTTACTTCCAGCTTGGAGAGCACCAGGAGGTGCCTTTCTCTTGCAATCTCTTGCTCGCATGATGGCTTGAGCACCAGGCCCTTGATGATTACGCAGAAGCCATTCGGCTAGAGCCGGACAATGCGACCTACCTGCACCACAAGGCCCCACATCCAGTTGAGTGCAACAGAGCATGACTCTGGTGGTCAGGGGCTCGCCTACCAGGGCTGTGGAGAGGTGCGGGAGGCCATCGCCTGCTACGAACAGGCGCTTCGGGTGGGGCGGGGGCTGGGGCGGCGTGTCGAGAGCTTCGACGCTGTGAGGCACTGCATCGAGACCCCGGCCACCATCCCTCTCGGCTTCCTCCCCGGAGTGACACAGCCGAAGCGTGTCGAAGCAGAGGTAGCCGGTCATCTTTCAACATCTAATCCAGCCGTCAGGGCAGTCCGGCAAGAATTCCTGTAAGGTTCCATCTTGGCATCATGTGCCATGCAGATGGGCAGTACGAGCGTGCATTGCTTACCACCGCTTTGGAGAGCTGAGGGTTTTGGAGAGCTGAGGGTTTTGGCTCGAGTGCGTCTGCTCCGAGTGCATCTTTTGTTGGCCGCAGCGTGTAGGCTCAGGGGGTTAGGAGCCATTTCGCTGTAGGTATGTGTGCGCAGGGCAGCTTCACAGACATGCCTGCAAAGCAGGGTGTGCCTGATGCCTGATGCCTGAGTGCAAATGCAACAGCTCAGTCTCTTGCGCAGGAAGAGCGCACTGAAGAAGTCCGATGCTGCACCGGGTGATACCGATGGTACCCCAACTACCAGCTCGAACTTGTCGATGTGGACGACAAGTCCAGGTGATTCAACAGACTCGCCGCATCCGGATGAGAACCTGGAGCAGCTTGACAACTTGGAAGCTTCGAACGTGGATTCCTCTGTAAAGTCGCTTTCAGGCGCGCTGGAGTTGGCGGACAGCTTCCTCGCTTCGACTGAAGAGGGCCTTCATGTACAGAGCTCCGACTGTCCGCCACCAGCCGACCCAGCCGCCAGCACCATTCCAGAATCTGCAGAACCTGTTGCCCTTAAAAGAGAGGCTTCACGCGGAAGCTTGCTCAGAAGAACTTGTCGCATCCAAGGAGGATTGCCATCAGCTTGTCCAGAAGCGAGGCCCAGCGCTGGGTTGCTGGAATTGCAAGAAGCAGCAACATCAATCCTGGAAGAAGCGGATTTCAACGTAACACTCCCTTCATGGCCACAGAAGAGGGCAGAGAAGGCAGCATCTGAGTGCAAGCGAGACAACGCCGCTATGCCGGGATGCACTCATGTTGGTGGGCCCTCTGTGCCCGTCACCAGGGAGGAGAAGTCCGAAAAGGCCGAGAAGACCGAAACTTCCGAGGCCAAGCCCAGAAAGGAGGCTCCAGCGGAGGCTCCAGCTAAGGCTCCGGCCGAGGCTGATTCCGTGGCCTTCCTTCCAGTGCGCCGACGTGTCCGGTGCAAGAGTAAGGCTCCACGTCCCACGTGCGTGGAGGACGGAGCCTGTGAACCCTCCTTCTTCCGTTCACAGGAAGATTTCGAGGACTTCTGGAGACTTGATTGCAAGGTTCTTTCCGCCTCCAAACGGAATCGTCCCCAGAGGTCGGAGAACAGTTTGGAATCATAGTCATACTGTAGTTGTGAGCAATGCAGTGTGCCAAGCTGTTTATTATCAGTTTACCGGTAACGCGCATGCAGGAACACATGTGGTCGTGCCCGTCCCGGAAGTCTGTCTGTGGGTGTGGGTGCAGTTTCCCAGGATAGCAGCCCTGGAGAAGTCCTTGGATGATGAGGAGGAAGAGCATGGACACTCGGAGCTTTCGCAGTGACTGCGAGATTGAGAATCCCTCCAGGGTTGTGGTAGAGTGGCCGTAGCCAAGGAGAGAGTCTGCTACGAAGACGAACTCCCAAGAATCGCCTCGAAGCATCCAGCGGAGATGCAGTCACGAAGACTCTGAAGAAGCTTGGTCGAAATATGCCAAGAGTGTAGCAACAGAGTCTTGATTTCCACGATCGTGCTGAGGAAAGGCCTGTCATCCTTCATGGCGGACGCTAAAGCCCGTCCTGGGAAAGGTGCAAAGAGAATTTCCTCGCAGCTGGAGGAGCTTGCAACACGACGGCTTCCTGGCACTGGAGAAGCTGGAAAGACATTCAAGCGGGCGCGTGCATGTTCACTGAAAAAGAGTGTCACCAAAGACACTGCGATGCACCGACAGTCCTAGCTTCTTTCTGCCAGAGACGGTGCAGCTGTGAGCATAGACCTGCTGCCAAGTGTGCAGCAGAAGTCTCGTGTGGTCGAAAACAAGAAGTGCAAAGACAGAAGACAATTGAAACGCAAAGCAGACATGCGGTATCCCTGCATCGGAGTGACGGTCAGGTGCTTTGGAGGCCTTCAATGGGGGTGTGCCACCAGACGAAGCTCTCCACGAGGCCGGCAGACAGAAGAGAACCCTTCTTCGGTTTCTGCCTTCATTCATATTCATTTCAGGCTCGTGGCTTGGTGTACAGAGATATGGGCGACTATCAGACCGGGCCCTAGTAACCCTAGCAGAGTCCTAGAGGACTTCAGTGTCGTAGAGGTGTCTCTGGGAGCGCTTCTGGCCTTTTGAAGGACGGCCTTGGTGGATTTCGATGCGGTGATTGACCTGGAGCCTGAGAGAGGAAGGCACTACTACAATCGCGGCGTCGTTTATCACCGCATGGGCGCAGCTCTCAAGATCTCTCCCAAGTCTCCTGTGGCTCAGCCTACAGCCTAGGCCTAGGCTATCCTAGGCTCCAGGCTAGTGCTCTACATGTTGGAGTCTTCAAACGAGGCCGAGAGCAGGACGCCATCGAAGACCTTTCGAGAGCGATCGAGCTTGGCAGCACTGAGGCAAATTGCCTCATTTGCCTCAGATTCGTCATTTTTTGTCTCTGCGTCGCGCCGTTGGGATTTGCTCGGAGGCCGCAGTCTTCAGTGAACGTGGTCTGGCATGGAGATCCTTCGGAAACGTGGCGCAGGCACACACACACACACAGTCGACTGCCAAATGTGCACGCTTGGGACAGTTTCCGAGCCGGACACTTGCAGGCTGTGATTGACCTCTCCGCAGCCATTGAAGCAGATGGCACCCAGACATTGTACTTGTCAAACCGTGCGCCGGGCGCTGAGTCGGTGCACTGCCTTGGCGGACGCTTCATGGGCCTTTGTTGAGGCAGTGTTTGTTCGAGCAGGGCCTCTATGACAGAGCCGAGGCCCGTTGAGTGAGCTTTGACTGAGCTGTGCTGAAAGCGGGGTGAGTAATGCTGTGTGAATCGGGCACCGAGGCAGACTTGAGCCGCGCTCTTCAGATTGATGGACGTGATGCCGAGTTACTGTACAGGCACACGAACTGCTGGCTGGCGTGGCCGCTGCACTGTTTTACCTTCCCATTCCTCAAACGATGCAGGCGCGGCATTACCCGCTATGCTCAGCGGCATTACGCAGAGCCGCTTGTTGCATTTCTTTCTGGGGTCGCTCCTTTCTGCAACTCGTCTTCGGAAAAACTCTGGACTGCGTGTTTGTACGTTGCACGTGTCAGCCGAGGTCCATAGCTGACCTGAAAGCAGCCCTGGCTCAGGCCATGAGAAATCCCTGCGCTCAAACCTGTATTCTGGATGAAACCACCGTTGCCAGGGCCCAATACCCGGGCATGAGGCAGAGGTCTACTACCACCTAGGCTGGGCCTGCAAACATGAAACTGCTTTGTGCCGCGATCCGGTCGTGAGGCGTCTCTTATGCAAATCTCGGGAAGCACCAACTTGCCCATGCCTCTGGCACATGTGGCCGCTACAAAGGAGAAGAGGCTGAAAGTGCAGTGTTGCGAGGCCGTTCCGGTCTACGACCAAGCAATCGGCCTTGCAAAGGGCGATCGTCCCCATTACTTGCATGAACGAGCCAGCCTCAGCGGAGCAGGGCTTGTCCATAAACCCAACATCTTCACACCGGTAATAGTAAGGTGGTAGAATTGCTGAGCTGCTAAGTCTGCCGGAGGCGCAAAAAGCTTGCAGATAATCGGCGAGCGATGCTCTTAGCGCGCAACACGCAACAGGCGCAGCCCTGGATTGCATTCCTTTTTCCTGGGCTGGGAGGCACAAGCGCGCGCTGGATGACTTTTCCAGAGTTATCGATTTGCAGCCAACGAATGCCCGAGCGATGCCGGGCCCTGAAGAGCAGCTGCCTGCAGTAGCCCCGGTTCTGAAGCCTCTCAGTTTCTCTTTGTCCGAGGTTTCGCCGTGCCTTCAGCTTCAAGGCCAATCCACGCTGCCATGCTCGCTCTGCATGCTCTTTGTCAGCTGCTGTTTTCATTGATTTGCGAGGCCGAGAGCATGTACGAAGAGGCAGCAGAGGACTTCGAGGCGGACTAGTGCATTGCACGAAGTTCTCAGTCATCCCGATGTCGGTTATTCAGCATCTCCCACATAGCATGAATGATTAAGGGGACACAGCGACACACGGTGAAGATTCCGCTCTTCTGGCCCGGAAGCGCTCAGACATCGCGGTTTCTTACATGAAGCCTTTTCTGGCTATCAATTCCATGTTTCGTTGGCACGGGCTTCTCTGGCTTGGGATTGAAGCACTGCCAGACTGGCTGCTGGAAGAAGGCTTGTCAGGGCATGTCCAGATTGTCAATACATCATATGGACGAGGGTTGCAGGCAGGCTTGACCTTCTTGCCCGGCGACGACGTTTTGAGCGTCCCTCTGAGGCATGTGTTTTCTATTGAAACTGTCGGCAGCTTCAAGCTGGGACGACTGCTTGCCGATCCACCTGATCTGTCGCATTCCGACATCCTTGCAGCAACTCTTGCCGCTGAGGCCGGTGACCACAGAGAAAGAGCAGCTGTCGTGATGCAGATGCTACCAAGCGATCTCTCTTACCATCCGCTCTTCTACAGTGACGACACCTGGAAGGTTGCTGATCGCCTCGTGTCTGGGAAGCTGCTGCAGTCGGCTTCGGATGACGTGCTACAAAGCTGGCATCGAGTCTCTAGTGTCCTGCAACACATGTCGCTAGATACTGGACTTCTGGAGCCACACTTCCGCTGGGCGCATGCGATCCTCCGCAGCCGCGGTCACGCCATCCAATTGCGCAGCCAAGACGGTGAATGGCTCAGCACTTGGGGCTTGATACCCCTGGCAGACATGATCAATATGGATCCGAAGCCTAATGTAGACTGCCGAACACGCTATGCAGGCAAAGATCACTGGGGCTTGGAGGGCGAATTCGTCTGCAAAGCATTGGAAAGGATCGACCCAGGCCAGGACCTGTGGACAGAGTATGTCTCCAGACCAGAGCTGCGCACAAGCGCAACCTTCCTGCGTGACTATGGCTTCGTGCCGACGGCCACTGACAACAATGCTTTGAGCTGGCTTCCGCCGGGGTGTACACGTCTCCAGTGCATGGTACGTCTGGATCATGCGCAGCTGGAAGAGTACTTCGGAGATGTCGGTCACTTCCTCGAGGAGGCCCTGCACAACTCTTCCTTCGTGATAGAGGCGGCAACACTGCCTGCCTTGAAGCTGTTGGCGCAGCAAGAGAAGGAGCTCCTTCTAAAAATTCGCGAAGAGTGGTTTGCCAAGACCATGTTCAAGAGCTGGCGAGGGGAGGCGGAGGAAGCTTTGACACCAACTTCGCCCAAGGCGCAACAACTCTTCGAGGTGTTGCGGTCTCCCGAAGCCCTCCACACCGTTGAATGGGACAGGGCTGTTTGGGCTGCCGGTCACTTGCTGACATTGCAGTGGGATGAGGCTTTGGCTGCTGAGGTTCTGTACAGCCATCATGATTTTGATCCTGAGCTTGAGCAAGTATTCCGTGCACATCGGAGAGAAGCAATTAACAAGACCACGTTGCAGTGTGCATTTGCCACACAAGCTCTTCTGAACGACTTCGCGTGGCCAGTGACTGCGGAGGAGCAGGATGCCATTTCTTCAAGCTCGGATCCCATTGTAAGAGCGATGTTTGTGCCTGAAAGTCTCCGAGCATCAAGATGCCGAAGAGCAAAGGCGCTTCAATCCGAACGCGAGTGGGAAGAGCAAGCAACCATTGAAACCTGTCCATACTGGAGAGGTTCTGAGGAACCGAGTGTTCAAGAGCTGTATGCCTCTCATCCATACCCTTCATGGAGACGCTTCGGGTTTATGGAAACCGAGAAGAAGAAGATCATGCGCAGCTTGATTGCCGGTGTCGGCACAGGAAAGGGGGTTCTGGCACACATGCAGCACTTCGATCCGCAAGAGATTCTGGCCGTCGATCTCAGCAAGCGCTCTCTGCAAGTGGCCAAAAGACAGCTCCTTGCACTCGGCGTTCGTAATGTTGTTCTTTGGCAGTGTGATCTCACTACACTGGAGGGACAGTTCGACGTCATAGAGAGCATAGGCGTGCTACATCATCTTCCTGATCCAGCTGCTGGCTTTGCAGCGATGAAGCGACTGCTTGCACCGCAGGGAACGCTGGTTCTTGGGCTTTACAGCCGCACGGCCCGACGCAGCATTCCTGTGATGCGTGACTTAGCAAGGGATGCAAGCTACCACCAGTTCCGAGCCTGGCTGACAAGTGGTGATGTGGCAGCACCCAGACGGAACATGACGAACGACGAGGAGGTCTACCGACAGGAGTTTTTGTCTGAGTTTTCCATAAGCTCTCGGAGTACGTTTGAGGATCTGCTTCACCATCCCGTCGAGCATGTTTTCGAACTTCCAGAGTTGGAGGAGCTTTTGTCTGCTGCTGGACTAAAAATTACCGGCGTGCGCGTGCCAACAGGAGGGCATGGTGTGGCAGAACGCTGGCTACCGTACTTTGCACCGCAACGTCGAGAGATTCAAGGCTGGCCACCTATGCCACTTCTGGCCTTCCTACACCGCATCGAGACAGAGAAAGAGCCGCTGCTCTTCACGAATATGTACGTATTTACCGCGAGCCACGGCAGTTCAGGCATTCTCGTAAATGTATCACGCTGGGTCTCAGCCTCCGCCGTAGAAGATGTGGAAGCCCTTCCGCTTCCCTTTGAGCCAGAGTGGTCCAAAGAATTACTGGACTCAGCTATCCGAGTCTTCTGCTCAAGGCTGTTTTACCATGTGAGTGGCACGGGCAGATGGGATGTGTCTGGAACTCCTCCCTGGCTCGAGGCTAAAGTTGCATTGGGTCCCCACGCAGCTCGAATCGCTCGTTCACTGCAGACAGAAGATGCGGTTGCGGGATATTGCAGGCTGCTGACATCCCATTTTCTAGCTTGAGTTGGCGACTGACGCGTATGTTGCATCAAGCATAGCAGACAAAAAGAAGCATCCCCATCCCCACCATATATATGTGGTTGAGAAAACACCTTCAACCAGCCGGGTTAAAGGTGTGGACTTGTTAGCGTCTCCGGGGATTTCGCTGGGAGGCTTGGGTTGTCAAGCAGGAGCACACAAAGTGTCGGGCTTCATGTTTCATTCGTCCCAGCTGAGCATGGAGCAGGCAGCCAAAGAATTCGCACCGGACGATCCACGGCTCGTCATCAACTACCGCAAGGTGGGTCGTGGAGCAGCTGTTGAAACAACCTGCAGTTGACACAGCCCTTTGGGGTTCACGCAAGCGCACACAGTGTACGCCCTAACCCTAATCCAAAGCACTTCTTCTGTCCAACATCGCATCTCCGCTCCAAGGCCACAGCCCTGCAATTGTTGGGAGTGTTCGATAACTTGCAGATGCTCATATTTTGCATGGACCGGTTAGGAAAGTCCCATCCTGAGGCCCAGACCACAAAGTTTGTCTTAGACACCACCTGGGATTCTGTCGCGAAGATGCAGAGCAAAAGAGTTCATGACTGGCTCCATCCTTGCGACGATGCCCATGGCCACATGAGCCAACCATGTTGCGGTCCTCAAGGGGCCGGCGAAGTCAGGTGATGAGCGTGTGGTAGCTGCGAACTCTTCGAAGCATTGCTGGCCGGCTGCAGCTGGCAGGAAAGAAGAACCAGCTGCAGAGCAAGTGGACCAGCGGCACTGGAGAGACAAGATACAGGCTACACCTCGAGCAGAAAGCAGTTCAAGAGTTGCAGGCTCAACTCAAAGCTGAGACGAGGAGATGGGAAACAGAGCAGCCCAACATGCAAACATGCAAGAGAAGTTCGACATGTAAAGCATCGAGACAAAAACACAACTTCACGTGCAGCTCGAGAAGGCTCAAGCAGAGCTGCATCGGGAGAGGCAGGAATTCCTGCTAGAAGAATGGGAGAGCGATCGGATAATAAAGAATTCGATGTGTGCCAGACGCACGAGAGCCAGACAGAGTTGTTGGCAGCTCTGCTCGAGCATGCCTGCATCCAAGTGAGTGCCCGTGAGACTTCGGCGAGAAAGGAAGGGAGCATCCTGCAGCAACTACGCACGGAGCTGGAGGTGGCTCAGCGCAAAGATTCCGAGAAGCAGAAAGCCGCACTAGAGCTCCAGAAGAAGTTACATCACGAAGAGGCCAAACAGCATGAGTTGGAAGAGTCAAAACGAACTGCAAAAGTTCTGCTACATGAGTGCTTTTAACCACCACATGGCCTTTCGAGCCGATGTGACAGTATTTCTGCAGCAGGGGCAACGATGTCCTGGCATTACAAACCAGCTTGCATCAGCAAGTGCAGAGCCACTTTCTCCGCATGGAGCTGGAGGAAGCTAAGGGCTAAGGCTGACATGCTGAGCAAGAGAAGTTTCACTGTCACCAGCCCTGTGAGGCTGAAGCTGCAGAGTTTCTGCAGCGGCTGGCGAAAAGACATCCGGCACTGCATGATCTTGCTTAGACATTATATGCGTAAGAAAGATCATGCGTGCCGGATGTCTATATACATAGATGTTGATATGCACAGACCCAGTGCCTGTTATCGAGCATGTCCAAGAGATCACCACCAGCCTCAGTTGGTGCAATTCATGGGTTGTACTGTGGAGGCGTTTGGTTCTCCCCAGCTCTTGCTGCCAAAGAGTGTCCATCTTTCAAAGCCACAGATACCAGTTGGCTGAGTTACTTCTTCTCGCCACTGGTTTTGTCGTCTGGAGAAGAATTGCATCGGATCCTTGTTGTAATCTTTATAGTAACCCGTCTACCTTGTGATAAGCTCTGTAGAATCAGTATAAAACCCTTCTAGTAAGACCTTTTTATGCAGAAGCGCAATTCTTTTTAGGGAAGGCCTTCAGACTTTGTGTGGCATGCTATAGTTTAGGGTTTTGAGTTTAGTCTTTCGCTTGGTTTTGTGTTTCGGATTTAGGGTTTAGGATTCTGCGACACCCTCCGTTTGTCTTTTTCTCTCTGACTTCTTTAAGCGGCAGGTGTATGACGTGGCCTGCATCTCCCTGGGTCCCTGTGGCCACGAGGACCAGCAGCAGTGCAAGTAATCCACTGCTTGTGACAGCCGTCGGCAGGATCCCAAGATCAGCGCTGTCTGAGGCTCCTTTCTCAAAGCGTTCCCTTCTCACGAGCGGCAAAGCCTCGCTATGATAATGTAGACGTGCAGTACGTGTTAGTCTCACCTCGCAGGTTTCACTGCCAGCATCGTTTCACCATGCTTTTTCAGAAGGCTCGTTTGAGCCGCTGAATATGGCATGCAACATGTCGGATGTGACAAACACCGCCTGTGCAACATCCAGGCGGTCCAGGCAACAGGCCATGCAACAATCGTCTTGTGCGGTACTTGCCAGCTGGATTATTCACATAAGGCGCGCTGCTGTTCCCATCCCTTTATGGTGTTCGACACTTGGGATACTGCCAAGAGCTAGGCTTACGGTGTCTTTGCTTCCGCCGGACCAGCTGAGGTCGCGGTACCCATCATCATCAACACTCTTAAGAAGGATCGCCTGTCCGATCCCATGCACTTTCAGGCCAGCATTGTGGGGATCTCGTAACATCCGCCCCGATTCTTGCGAAAGCAGATGGTGTCCGCTCAGCCGTTCGCAAGACCAGGTCGTGTAGGCCCCGGCATAGTAGCAAATGTGTCATGCTCCCTGCGCTCATCGTGTTTGTGCCTAGCTTGCAAGATTGTTTGTGTCATGCCGCGAGTTTTCCTGTGCTGCTCGGCCTTGCATTTCATGCTGCGGCCGATGGATGCATCAGGACTTGGATGCCTGTCTGTGGACACCTGAGATGTACGAGCTGACGACCTCTCCCTCTGCATACTGCAGCAAGAGGGGCGGCGTGATAGCAGGCAGGGACACGGTCCTTCGGCTTGGCTGTTCTCCCATTGTTTAGTAAAGCTCGAACCTGCCATCCTTGTGCTGGATCTGAAAGACTATGTCGTTCGAGAGGTCACGGGCTTTGCCGATGCTTGTAGTGGAGAGCGCGGTCAATGCATAGTGTTTCAGCAAGCGCCAGGGCGGTGCAGAGATCTGCCACCATTCCAAGGTATCTCTCTTCCCTGGTGCACAGTCGGTTCTTCAAAGACTTTGTACGGATGCGACCCTATCCGGAATCCAGATAGCTGTTGCATCATCAACAACAGCACCTCGCCGCAATTCGAGCTCGTTGTTTTCAGGCCAACATTCCATTTTGGCTTGATGGTCACCTGATCCGTTGTTGCAAGACAGTGTTGGGACGCCCAAGGAACCTGCATTTGCAAACAAGTGCCTCGACGAGTTTCCACTGCTTCCTGGCAAAGTCGAGAAGGTCGCTGATTTGGTGAAGTTTCGGCAGATATATCCTGGCAGCACCTTGCCAAAAAGTCTGATATTGTTCTTTTGTACGTCTATTTCCGTATACCGTATATTCTATAGGTACATATGGCCACTACATTCATGTAAAACGTAACGGCAGGTAGATACAGAGCTACATAGATGGGCAGCTGGAGTATGACCTTGCAATACCTGCACAGGCAAAGGAGCACAGCATTTTCCAAAGCTGAAAGATGAGTCTGGGCTGTCCTACGAAAACATGATTTTCTTCGATGATTGTACCTATAGTGACAACTGTGCCGATGTGGCATCACGCTGCCCTGGCGTGCTCTGTGTGCGGACTCCTCGGGGCCTGACAGAGGAAGATTTCGATCTGGCTTTGGCAGCGTTTGCTTCCGGCAAGAAGGGTGTCATCAAATGACAACCGGACACTGGTGCTGTCGCATGTAGCAGAAACAAAAGCAGCGCTGTGCAGCCGGATTCGTGCTGCCTCCCTGACGTTCTGCCGAGTGTGTTTCAGGCCAAGCTGTGGCCAGCCCTGAAGCCCCTCTTCAGCGCCAAAGAAATCCCCATAGAGGCGCCGGGCATACCGTGAAACCCTTTTTGCAGGTAGACGGTCTGCATTCGAAATTGAATCGGCGCATGCAGGTGGTCACGCTCTTCCTGAAGGAATTGGATCTCATGGTCTCCCTCGCCCCAGCAGCTGAGACGCAGGTCGAAGTTTAGATCCGCTCCTTCCAGACTTCGTTTTCGTTCGTTTTGCGCTCCAGGCGGTCTTGTTACCGTTTTTGCTGCGGTGCATGGAGCTCCAAGAACCGACCATCCTGAATGAGGCCTTGCTTGATCACAGTCCACATACACATATGTTACATATAATATATGCGCATGTGTCTACAATGGTGTGCACATGTGTCTACAATGGTGTGTACATATACATACATACATACATACATACATACATACATACATACATACATACATACATATATATATTGTATTATATTATATTATATTGTATTATATTATATTATATTATATTATATTATCTTATATTATATTATATTATTGCATAGTACAATATAAACTGAATGTAACATAGCA